GTGTCTGTGTGTCGCTCGTGCGTGTCGTCATCATCTGTCTAGCGTCCACCCATACCGCGTTGGTGTCCAGTCCGAGCCTGGCTGTTCTTCACCTTTCTACCTACCTACCTACCGACTCCCAGCTCTGGCGAGTACAGGCAAAGCTTGTGCTGTGAATAGCAGGCGTGGTCTGTAAACTTCTGTACCGTCGGGTATCTGTTTACAACTGTAAGATGAAGTAAACAGCAATAGATCCGGCCCTCAAGCGGCCTAATCGATACCCGGCCCTCACGGAATCGGTCCCTCGTTGTACAGCAATCGATCCTTCACAGCTGCCCGCCCTGCCAAACTTGCTGAGAATCGGTCCTCCCACCTGTGGCGCGAAGCTGGCATATATGTCTCCCGCCCTCGGCGTGCCTACCGCGCAGCGGCGGCAGACCACCCTCCGGTTCGAGGGGCGCCTGGGGCTGAGCGGGCTGCCACCGCCAGAGTTTGGCTCGCCCACCGGCGGGCTGCCTCCGCTCGCCACCCTGCCACGGGTCGCAAGCCCTCTGCCGGCCGGAGCGCAGGCTGCGCAGGCTTCCTCCACAAAGAAGCGCAAGGCGCCAGCTGCGCTCGTCGACGGTGCTAGGCCTGTTGCTGCTTCTCTCTCCTTGGGCTACAGCCGCACTGTCCACTGAGGGAGGGTGTAGAGGAGTAGAGTGTAGAGCGCTGTAGAGCTGTAGAGATGGGAGAGCGCTGTAGAGCTGTAGAGCTCTACATCCGCCGCGGGACGAGGCGGGTGCGTTGTAGAGCGATGTAGAGGCGCTCTACAACGTGAAATCTCTACAACAAACTCTACATCATAAGCGGCGAACGAGGCACGGACCACGGTCGCTCTCCGACATGAGGCGCGTTGCACTTGCCAGTGCTGCCCTGGCCTTCTGTCTGCCCGCCCAATGGGTGGCAGGTGCCTCTGCTGCTATGGCATGCCTCACGGCTGCGACTGGCCGGCGCCTCGGCGCGTCAGCTCGGCTCGGCGTAGCGATCGTGGCCAGCGCAACTCGCCTGGACTCAACGCTCAGCCAGGAGCTCCCGCACGCGCTGGCGCGATCATGGCGCATGCAACGCGCAGCAATGCTCGCCTCGCCTCGCGCAAATGCGACCGCGTCCTCGCAGCCGACAGTCCACCGCCTGCTAAAGAAGCACTGCGATGAATGCGGCACCGGCGACGCATGGCAGGCTGGTCATGACGCAGTTATAGGGTGTCGTGTGCCGTCAGAGTGACTCTCTGTGTGTCAGGGATAGTCAGGGCCGTCCATCAGAGCTCCAGGCTGGAGTACAGTAAGCTCGGAGACACCCCATTAGCGCGGCTCGACCTCTTTGAGTCACT